TTTTTTTTTTTTTTGAGACAGAATCTTATTATGTTGCCCTTGGTAGAGTGCCGTGGCATCACAGCTCATAGCAACCTCCAGCTCTTGGGCTTAAGCAATTCTCTTGCTTCAGCCTCCCAAGTAGCTGGGACTACGTGTGCCCGCCACAGTGCCCGGCTATTTTTTGGTATAGTTGTCATTGTTGTTTGGCAGGCCTGGACTGGGTTTGAACCCGCCAGCTCTGGTATATGTGGCTAGTGCCCTAGCCGCTGAGCTACAGGCACTGAACCTATTTTCTTTTTCTTTCTGCTGGGGTTTTTTTTTTTTTTTGGCCAGGGCTGGGTTTGAACCCACCATGTCTGGTATATGGGGGGGTTGGCATCACCCTTTGCTGAAGTTTTATAGTTGTTGTACATTGTATAGATTTGGGTAAAGGTAGGTTTTCTCTTCTGGATTTTACTAGGTTCTAAGATTCCCTAGTAGTCTAGAAATTGGGCCAAGTTCATTTTCTTTTAAATATTAAAAACAATACCCTAGAATATAAGTGTGTTTTGTTCTGACTCTAACCAAAACACATTTCTGAAATGGCAAGCTCTTCAGAACAGTCTCTGGTCATTCTTCAGGAGCAGTGTGCCCACTGGAAGAACTGTGTGATGTGGCCCATGAGTTTGGAGCAATCACCTTCGTGGACGAGGTCCATGCAGTGGGGCTATATGGGGCTCAAGGTGGAGGGATTGGAGATCGGGATGGAGTCATGCCAAAAATGGACATCATTTCTGGAACACTTGGTATGTATACTTTGTACATTCTGTCATCTACACTAAAATGACATTATCCTAATGAGGTCAAGGACTAGTCTAACTGGGATCAAGTAAGGAGACAGTGCGATAGCATATAAAGCCTGGGCCACGTTTTATTTTGGGTGAGTTTCTTTGTCCCAGTGACTGATGGCACAGCTTAGCAGAATGCCTTGGGTGGTAGAGACATAGGTCCTAAAATCACAGTAAATCTCTTTTAACTTAACATGACCGAACTACCATTTATTGCCATCTGAACTCATTTTAAATGCAATTGTAGCTCTAGCTATATGCTATGGCAAAGACTTTCATTCTCTGTGCCTCAGATTATTACCCTTAATTTAAAAGAAAGAAGAATTTTAGTATTTTTCTCCTAGATCAGCCATTAGGTGTAGGTGTTATGAAGTGCTAAGCTTTGTGCCTACCACATGGAATGTTCCAGTTCCCCCTGGTTTTCCTCTGCTTCTCATACAGAGGCAATGGCTTGTAGTAGTTGGAAGCTGGCTGGGTTTAAATCCTGGCTCCATAACTCACTATTTGTATGACCTCACGTTGGTAGTTAACCTCTCTGCACCTCGGTGTTCTTGTCATTATAATGAGGCAACAACAGGACGTCAATCCAAATTGTTGTGGAGAAGATAAATGAGTTTTATGCAAACAATTACTATAGACATCCCCTTTGCTATGAGATCTTAGATGACAATGTAAATTACATAAATTTGGAGAGTATTTTGGGGTTTTTTTGTTTGTTTGTTTGTTTTTTTGAGACAGAGCCTTAAGCTGTCACCCTGAGTGCTATGGCATCATAGCTCCCAGCAAACTCCAACTCCTGGGCTTAAGTGATTCTCTTGCCTCAGCCTACCAAGTACCTGGGACTACTCGTGCCCGCCACAACACCCAGCCATTTTTTGCTTGTAGTTGTCATTGCTGTTTGGCAGGCCCGGGCTGGATTCCAACCCACCAGCTCTGGTGTACGTGGCCAGCACCTTACCCGCCTGAGCTTAGGCGCCAAGGCAAGAGTTTTTTCTTTTTTTAAAAAACCTTCAGTCCAGGGCGGCACCTGTGGTTCAAGGAGTAGGGCACCAGACCCATATACCGGAGGTGATGGGTTCAAACCTGGCCCCAGCCAAAAACTGCAATAACAACAACCAAAAAACCCTTCGGTCCAAGCATGGTGGCTCACACCTGTAATCCTAGCACTCGAAGGCTGAGGCAGGCAGATTACTTGAGCTCAGGAGTTCAAGACTAGCCTGAACAAGAGTGAGACCCCATCTCTATTGAAAATAAAAAAATTAGCTGGGTGTTGTGGCAGGCAAAAAGTAATCCTAGCTACTTGGGAGGCTGAGGCTAGAGTATTGCTTGAACCTGAGTTTGAGGTTTCTTTTCTTTTCTTTTCTTTTTCTTTCTTTCTTTCTTTCTTTCTTT